ATGCCAGGTCCCTTGAAGCAGCAAGGATGGACCGGCTCCCAGCAATCTATATCTGTATCTATATCTATATCTATATCTATATCTATATCTATATCTATATCTATCTATCCCAGCAGAGACACATTTATTTTATCCCTAAGGAGGCAATAAAGCAGTCAAATATCTATAATAATAAAGGCATAATATTTAAATTGATCAAACAACCAAACAGCAAAACAACCATTCAGTCGACCATCCGAAAAACCACACTATGACACGAACTGGCACCAGGCCCACCAAGGCTGGTGTAATGCAATGGTCGGGGGGCTCAGACATCGCCCCATGATCGCCCCACAGAGTGAGGCCCAGGCCATCCTCTGTGGGCAATTAATGGGCGGGGAGTTGGGGGAGGCACCGCAATCTATCTATATCGATATATAACTATATCTATATCTTATGTATAATCTATATCTATGTCATCTATATCTATATCCATATCTATATCCATAGGAGCAGTGCCTCATTGATTTTATCCCTGCGGAGTCATTGATTGTGCCCATATCCTATTTCCTGACCACCTCCGGCAGCATAACCCCTGGTACGGAAGAAGAGGTTCCTGGGCATGATGACCAGGACCCCAAAAAAACCTGGTTATCTGAGGGCACAGTCCACACCTCCTTCCAGGAGAAGCCCCAGAGACCAGGACCTCCCTCACCTCTTGTCTTTTGTATATGCAGACACCTCCCATATGAAAATGCACATACAGCCACCAGACACACACACAGTTGGCGTCCACTTAAATGCAGGCCCTCCTCACCCTGGAGAATACTTTCTGGGGGACGAGGATCTCACCTGCAAGAAATGACTCCCATGTGGCTCTTCCCCTTCCTGCTGTCAGCTCCCAGATGTGAGTGTCTCAGGGCTTAGACGTGAGGAGATGGGGATCCTGCATCTGAGCCCAGGACTCACTGTGTTCTCTCTGTCCCAGGTTTCCTGTCCCAGGTGCAGCTGCAGGAGTCGGGCCCAGGACTGGTGAAGCCCTCGCAGACCCTCTCCCTCACCTGCTCTGTGTCCGGGGACTCAGTCACCAGCAGTAACTACTGGAACTGGATCTGCCAGCCCCTGGGAAAAGGGTTGCAGTGGATGGGGTACTGGACAGGGAGCACAAGGTACAACCAAGCCTTCCAGGGCCGCATCTCCATCACTGCTGACATGGACAGGAACCAGTTCTCTCTGTAGCTGAGCTCCGTGTCCACTGAGAACACGGCCGTGTATTACTGTGCAAGACACAGTGAGGGGAAGTCACCGTGAGCCCAGAAACAAACATCTCTGAGGAGACAGCAGGGCTGGGCTGCAGGGGGTGCTCAGGACCCACAGCACAGAGAGAAGCCCCAGGAGCAGGAGCAGACTGAGTTGGGGAGGGATGGGTTTTCCTGTTGGGCACAGGGATTTCCTCTTAAGCTCTCAGCTGTCTCCAGGAAGGCTCTTCCTTCTCATATTCTCACCGCAGACAACAGTGAAGAAGGGACATTGTGTTTGCGGGTGACAGTGACAGGGAATCTCCTTCACCAAGTCTCCTTCACAAATTCTAAAAGTGGCTTTTTTCACTCTCTTTTCAACTTTTCGCTGAGGAATGTGAACTCTGCAGCTGAGTTACTGG